ACAAAGCACATCTCTGCACAAAATACTTGCAGAGAGCACACTCCCTGACCCACATGGTCACACACATTCTTACAGTCCCCAGTGGTTCCCAGGTTCTCTTGGGACTGGTGCATCATCCTTCATCTCCTAGGGAGAAATGGTATCCCAGAGAGAACAGAGGTCTCCCGTCCTATCCTAAGCACTGCTGGATCCTGTGTGACATCACCAGCCCCCTCACTGCTGCCACTGCTGGAAGTCCTGAGCTCTGTGCTGGGGGCACCAGGCACTGACACTTGGCTCTTGTTGGGAGAACAGAGAGAGTCTCTCTTGTCCACAGCCTGTGCTCGGCTCCAACTGCTGCATCTCTTGGAGACCTCTGCCCAGGCTGGAAAGGTATGTGGGACCCGGGCAGCCAGGGCCAGGCACAGGACCCATGGGGGACAACCTCGGGAGGGATGGTAGTGTCTCAGGCTGGCTGTGGGAGCACAGCCTGGTGTGCATCGGAGAGGCCAGGATGCACCTCCCTCGGCTAGAAATTCTATAGCCTGCTGTGCAGGAGTCTGGCAGGGGAAGGCCTCTAGATCAGCCTAGCATGGAACTCCCCTTGTGTTGCAGCTATTTTCTGGGCTGAGTGGCCTCCGATCTGGTAGATGTTCCTGGCCACAGGTGAATAGGTTTCAGTGTCCCACCTAGCCACAGAGCAGTGCCTCTAAGACCTTTCCTGAAGAGAGGGTGATCTAAGAGAGGTCAAGCTATATAGCCCAGGCCCCACAGCAACCCCAAGTGGGGTCTTTGAATGAATAATTTGCACCAAGCCCTGTGGGAAGTACAGAGCCTATGAGGTTCCAAGGCCCTGAACCAAACCTTGAACAGTAGGCTTCTCCCACTGTGCTGCTGGCTGCATGGACCAGCCATCCAGTCCTTCTACCACTTGAACTCACACAGACACCGGCTGCTTAGGGGATTTCATGGTTCTGGCCCAAAGTTCCCAGTGTGGTTGCTGTAACTGGACCCTGGGGAAAGTACCCAGGCAAGACTGTATTCAACACAGAGCTTATCCTGGGACTGTCCACAAGAATTCAGGGTTGCCAACATGCCTATGTGTGAGTCTGGAGAGCCCAGGCTACCCCAAAACAGCAACAGCCAAGAAAGTCCTGTTCTAAATCATGTGTGGTAGCACATGTCAATGTTCTTACCATTTGGGAGGCTAAAGCAGTTCAAGGCCAACCTGAGGTATACAACAAGCTCAAGGCCAGCATGGGCTACAGAGCAAGGCCCTGATTAGAGAGAGAGAGAGAGAGAGAGAGAGAGAGAGAGAGAGAGAGAGAGAGAGAGAGAAAGGAGAGAGAGAGAGAAACAAAAATGCACAAAGCTTCTTTCAAGGTCTCAGTGCCTCACTGAGAAGAGGAAATTATTCAGCTTTAGGCCTGCAAGGGTCCTTCCTGCTCTGGCGGCCATCTTGGAGTTCTGGAGCTTCTGTCAATCACAAGAGTCTTCCTGTCCTGGGTGTTCCCAACCTTTGCAGAGACACTGCCAGGCAGGGGCCCCCTAGCTGTCCCTCTCCATCCCTTCTGAACTGTTTGGTAAGAAAGGCTGGGTCTGAAGTCCTGTGCTCATTGCATGAGTTGGCTGTTTGAAACCTGGAGCTTATGCAGGGACACTTGGCTCAGTCTGGGAGGAAGGGACTGGACCTGCCTGGACTGAGTCTACCAGGTTGATCGCAGTCCTCGGGGGAGGACTTGTCTTGGAGGAGGTGGGAATGGGGGGTAGGCTGGGGGTAAGGGGAGGGTGTGGGAGAGGGGAGAATAGGGGAACCCATGGCTGATATGTAGAACTGAATGGTATTGTAAAATAAAATATATATATATATATTTAATAAAAATAAATAAAAAAAAAGAAAGGCTGGGTCTGGCAAGTGTCATTTGTCTCATTCACACATGGACCTCTGGCCTTTAGGGTGAGAGCTGCTGAGGCTGTATCTGAAGTGGAAGGTGGACCAGAGGGCAGCCCTGCCTGGAGCCCAAGCTCCTTCGTGCCTGGTCTTCCCTGTACCCCCAGAGCCTACCTCATCACAGCTACAGAATGGCCTCCAGCCCAGCTGGAGTTCCTAGCCCACAGGTAAGTGGTTCTAATTCTTCCCCACAACACCCAGCACCCTGCACCAGGGACTCACTTTTTCCCAAGGCTGAGGAAATCTGTAGAGATATCAGCCAGCCCTGTGGGCTTTTAACCAGAACTTGTATCTGCCAGCTTACTGTAAACTCATGGAGATGGCCATTTGCAAGGATAATTGAAAAGAGATTTGCCTGGGGGCTATAAGAAGTAGATTTGGTTAGAAAAAAAAAATATGACATTGGTTGTGAAAATACATAGGTTCAAATCCCGCCTTGGCCACATGTAAGGCCTTGGACAACTCCTCTCTGGCTTTGATTTTCTTTCCTTTTGATTGCTGTGATGGCCAGCAGCCTCTCAAAGTCATTCATTAAGGGAAGCAAGTGTGATATGAATGATTAGATGGAGGAGTGGGTGGATACCAGGGAGGAGAACCAATAAAGGAAGGGAAGGAAAGAGGTAGGTAAGCTGATTAGTAGTGATGTTGGCAGAACCAGGGCCTAGGCCAGAGGAAGAGGAGGGAGCTTGCTGATCTTCATCGCCTCTCTCTTTTAATGTCTTCAGCCCTCTAGGGCCAATGGGAGCATCAACCTGGGGCCATCAGCGAACCCAAAGTGAGTTCTGCTTCCCAAGACAAAATTCCTACCTGGCTGTCCCGTGGCTGGCTCTCTTTGCTTTTGAAATAACATCCAAGGTCCCTGGTGTACTCAGAACCTTTCCCAGCTGGACCAGAATCCCTCTCGCCCTGTGCCTGCTCAGCTTCATCTCTCATTAACTTCCCAGCTTTGGCTCAGGCTGAGCTCTCTACCTGGAATGACCCCAAACATCTTCATGGTCAGCAACTCTTCACCCTCAGGCCCTTCTCCTGGCCAGAGTCGGGGGTGGGGGTGGGTGGAGGAGACTGCCTTCTGCACCGTGTACCTGATTGTCTCTTTAGTATTAACTAGTCTGTGAGCTGGGCTGGGTATAGGGAAAGGTGTGTGAGGCTCTGTCTTCTGAGCTTCTTTGGGCTGTTAGACATGATGTTCTTCAGAGGCGAGGCCATGAGACTCCTGAAAGGCCACCTGCATTTTTCAGCTCTGAAATTAACCAGAGATCCAGCTTCCTGGGATTCCAAACACTGATCTTTATTCTTCTCCTGTCCACAGTGCCCGACCCACAGACTTCGACTTCCTCAAAGTCATTGGCAAAGGGAACTATGGAAAGGTAAGGAGAGGAGATGGGGGCGGGGTCTCTCCCTTCTGTTGTCTTCCACCTGCTCTCTTCCGTTAGCCTATGCAAAAAGAAGGCTCACATACCACAGACCTGCAGACTGAGTGTGGGGCTGCCAGGGGAACCTGTCATCCCTGATATCTTGGGTCTGTACTTTTCTTCAGGTCCTACTGGCCAAGCGCAAGTCCGATGGAGCCTTCTATGCGGTGAAGGTGCTGCAGAAGAAGTCCATCTTAAAGAGCAAAGAGGTACCAGAACTCAGGAATGGTCACTTCTCCCCTGCTACTTGATCCCCAGCCTAGGGTGGCTTCCCAAGATGGTTCCATCTCCAAGAGGTCCAGTGGGGACAGCTCAGAAAGTCCAGCTGGCACACAGGACCCTAACCTTTTTAAAGGAAGACAGGCCAAGCCATCTCCCTAGGAGCCTTCTGGAGGATGAGAAGGTCTTTACCTTCCAGTCGTTAACAGGATCCACTGACGGACCAGCTCTCTGCCCTCTCTAGGTGTCAGGCTCTCACTGTGGCCTTACACTGCACTCTCTTCAAAGGTCCCTCAGCCTGGCCAGCTTGTGTAGGCATGGAGTTTTACTGTCCCAACTGCCTGCTCTCAAATAACCAGGAGCTGTTTCCCAAATAACTGACTCAGAGACTTAATATAAATTATAAATGCTTGGCCAATAGCTCAGGCTTGTTACTAACTAGCTCTTACAACTTAACCCATTTCTATTAATCTATGTGCTGCCCTAAGGCTCATGGCTTTTACCTTTATCCCATTTTGTGTGTCGAACTTAATTTCCATCTGGCTGGCGACTCTTCTGACTCTGCCCTTCCTCATCCCATCATTCTCAGTTTGGCTTTCCTAACTAAGTTTATCTTGTTCAGCTATTGGCCAGTCAGCTTCTTTATTAAACCAATCATAATGACATATTCACACAGTGTACAGAAGGATTATTCCACAGCAAGCTTAGCTCTCTAGATGCCTCAGTGACTTGAATCCCTTCAACACAGTTAGAATAGAGAGAGGATAGAATGCCAAGTCAAACTATTCAGGAGACAGAATGATTCATGCCAACAAGGAGGGGAGGTCTTCCTGCATAGGTGGTCTTGAACTGACCCTGACTGTAAACAGCATTCTGATAGTTTGAAAAGAAGGTGGCATGCCCAGGGGGTAGGGAGATGGCTAAAATGACATAGTGCCCTCTGTGCAGGCATGAGGACCTAAGTTTGATCCCACAAAACCCACATAAAAAAGCTAAGCATGGCAGCATGTATCTCTAATCTCAGTGCTGTGGAGATGGAGAGAAAGGACCCCTTTGTCTTGCTAACTGGTTAGACTAACCCAATCAGTAGGCTACATGTTCAGGGAGAGACCCTGTCTCAAAGAATAAGGTAGAGACATCCATCATCTACTTCTTGTATACACACACACACACACACACACACACACACACACACACACACACACATGGGGGGGGGCAGTTCAGGTGTATAAAATAGCAGGATCAAATGTTGTAGAATATTATTTTTTTAAGATTTTATTATTATTATTATTATTATTATTATTATTATTATTATTATTATTATGTATAAAGTATTCTGCCTACATGTGTCCCTGCAGACCAGAAGAAGGTACCAGATCTCATTACAAGTGGTCATGGGCCACAATGTGGTTGCTGGGAATTGAACTCAGGACCTCTGGAAGAGTAGTCAGTGCTCTTAACCACTGAGCCATCTCTCCAGCCCGCAGAATACTATTTTAAGATGTTGTTTATGCTGTGGAATATTTGTTTAATGATGCAAAGATGTGTTACATTTTTTAATGTTGCTTTTGTTTAACTCTGTGAAGCTGTGTTACTTTGACTGTCTAAAACACCTGATTGGTCTAATAAAGAGCTGAATGGCCAATAGTGAGGCAGGAGAAAGGATAGGTGGGGCTGGCAGGCAGAGAGAATAAATAGGAGAAAAAAAGAAAAAAGATCAAGGAATAAGAGAAGGAGGAGGACTTTGGGAGCCATCCACCCATCCATCCAGCTACACAGTCAGACACAGAGTAAGAAGGAAAGAAAAGGTATATAGAAACAATAAAAAAGCCCAGAGGCAAAAGACAGACGGGGATAATTTAAGTTAAGAAAAGCTGGCTGGAAACCACCCAAGCTAAGGCTGAGCATTCATAAGAAATAATAAACTTCTGTGTGTTTTATTTAGGAGCTGGGTGGTGGGCCCCCCACAAACACCGAAAGAGTAAAACAACCAACTATGATCAAAGGCATGAGTATAGATAGGCACTCATGGCACTTTTTTTTTCCTAGAGAGCTTCCCTGGGACCCAATCATCTTGTCGTAGCATATGCTTTGCTTGTTACCCAGGGGCAGGGGTTTCTGAAGTTACACTAGTATGAAGTGGCTGGGATGAGACTCAGGACACTGACTTTTCAGTATTAACAAGGAAGCTAGGCCTGGCTTGGGGACAAAAGAGAGCCAATGTGGGTATTTGAACTGGGGCAGGAAAAAGCCTTGGGCAGGACACCTCCATAAACCAGGCCACTGGACTGTGCTGGAATGAAAGGAGCCGAACTGGACTGTGACATGGACCCTGTCTGTGTGACTCCACAGCAGAACCACATCATGGCAGAGCGCAATGTACTGCTAAAGAACGTGAGGCACCCCTTCCTTGTGGGCCTGCGCTACTCCTTCCAGACCCCAGAGAAGCTCTACTTCGTGCTTGACTATGTCAACGGAGGAGAGGTGAGTGGACCTCAGGAAGGGAGCTGTCCTCCCATGTGCCCACTGTGTACCCACTCCAGAGTGGTCTCCCTGAATCCCTACAACAGACCCACTTGGTAGTCTAAAGAAACTGAGAGGCTCAGTGCAGCAAGTCACGTCTCAAGACAACCAGTCTATGCCAAGTCCTTTTCACCTCTGCAGCAGCAGGGACGTTTCCCACACAAGGTCAGGGCTCTGTCAGGAGAAGTGTGTAGTCACTATTTCCAATACGTCCATTTCCCACACCCAGGCCACAGGCCCACACCCATCACTATCATTTTTTTTTAATTTTATTTATTTCTATGTATATATATTGTACATGCCTATTTTTATGTGTGGGGCAAACGTGTAGGTACACATGTGTTTGTACATGGAGGCCAGAGGTTGATGTCAAGAGTCATCTTCAATTTCCCTTCCATCTTTTTCAACAAATCAAGGTCTTTCAACCAAACCCAGAGCTTGACAGTGTAGCTAGTCTTGCTAGCCAGCTTGCACTGATGATCCCGTCCCCATCTTGTGAGGCTGGAATTACAGGTAGGCAGCCATGCCCCCCCTGGTATTTATATTGATCTCTGGGGACCCGGACTTGGGTCCTTATACTTACACAGTAAGTACTTTAACCACCGAGCTGTCTCTCTAGCCTGATGTCACTATCCTCAGTAGAGACCCGAACCACCTGCAAACCCCAAAGCAGGGCAGAGACAAGCTGGGTACCATCTTGGACTTTGCTTTGTCTCACCGAACAAGGGGGCAAAATTTAGTAGGGGCTTTCCTCAACTGCACCAGGTTTGGCCTATCACCAAATGTTTTCCAGCCTGAGTCCAACAGGGGAGGTTTCATCCTGCACATCCCCAAGGGATGGCTTTGCAACCAACAAAGCATACCAAACAGGAAGATCTCAGCTGAGCTCAATGTGACAGCCTAATGCTTGGGTTGGAGGAAAAGCATGTTTTTGTTGGGCATGGTGCCTCACACCTATAATCCCAACACGTGGGATACAGAGGTGGGAGGACTGAGTTCAAGGCCAATCTGGGTTGCATAGATTCTACCCCTCCCACCCTACCCCAACCCCACACACAAAGTATGTTGTAGCAGGACTCTTAGAAGGTCTTATTAATAAAATCAAACCTGAGGCCAGTCATTGAAGTGAATGCTGGAAGATCAGAGAAGCAGAACAAGCCACAGCCACCTCACCTTGCCAGTTCCTCAGCTGATCCTGTTTCCTCAGACTGGAAGCCTCTGAGTCCTCATCCAGAATGTGTCTCAGCTGAACTGTAGCTCAAAAGCCTAAAAGCTTAACCAGCCAAATGCTGCTAGTTTCTGGTCTTCATGCCTTATATACCTTTCTGCTTTCTGCCACCATTCCCTGGGATTAAAGGCGTGTGTCACCATGCCTGGCTGTTTCCAATGTGGCCTTGAACTCACAGAGATTCCAGAGGGATTTCTGCCTCTGGAATGCTAGGATTAAAGGCGTTGAGTGCTACCATTTTCTAGCCTCTGTATCTAGTGGCTGTCCTGTTCTGTGACCCCAGATAAGTTTATTAGGGTGCACAATATTTTGGGGAACACAATACCACCACAGTATGTCTTGAACTACCTGGTTTCAAATTCCAGCTCTGCCAACTGGGAGAAGTGGGGCCTTAGACAATCCATGTAACTCCTCCCCCTCTGACATGAAACTGGCGTCACGGCTGAAGATGGTCATGAGGTTTAAACAAGCGCTGTGAGGGAGGCTGGCTTGCAGCCTGGAACACAGTAGCTGTTTGATTATGCTGACCGAAGGCATGGAGAGCACACATGCCCTGAGGGGTGGGGTCAGCATGCAGTCTTTTGGTTCAAGGATGCCGAAGTGTAGGCTAGGGTAACTGGCCTGCATGGAATAGCGGGTCTTGAAGGTTCATGTCTGGGGATCTAGGAGCTGGAATCCAGCCGCCATCTCACTGTCCCTCTCCTAGCTCTTCTTCCACCTGCAGCGGGAGCGCAGGTTCCTGGAGCCCCGGGCCCGGTTCTACACTGCCGAGGTGGCCAGCGCCATTGGCTACCTACACTCTCTCAACATCATTTACAGGTGAGGCCCGCTCTTGGCTCACGGTCAGTCCCGGGACCTTTTTGCTCCACCAGGCAGGGATTGTGTGGGCCATGAAGTCTCACTGAACTTGGTCCTTTGACTGAGGCAGTCTCTTATTTAGGGTTGGGGTGTGCTCCTTTCTAGAGTCAAGTACCCAGCCTCCCTGGGTTTTCTTTTTCGCCTGTGGGGTTGTCCATGAGTAGTTCTCCTGCTAGGACCCCAGTCCCCAATTCACTGAGTAAACGGCTGTTTTCTCTTTTCTTCTGCAGAGACTTGAAGCCAGAAAACATTCTCTTGGACTGCCAGGTGTGGGGTGTGTGTGTGTGTGTGTGTACATGCAGCACAAATCTGTGCTCTCCAGCCATGGTCTGTGTACATTGGTATTTATGCATTACACATATATGCATATAATAGCATACCTTGTGTGTATTGTGTACATATGTGCTCATGCACATATTTGTGTATATAAATATGTGCACAGGAGACTATGTGCATGTATGTCAGTATATATATATATATACATATACAGACCTGTGGCGGGGGGGGGGGGGGTGCCACATGTGGCCAGATAGAAGCTAGGGATCTGTAGACCTTCCATGTTTCCTGATTCCCTGGAGATAGACCCTGAGATGCTGAGATGGAGAATGGAATATAGGTTTCTTGGGGAACACTTTCCAAAAGATATAGCTTTAAGGGGGATGAAGAAAACAGGGTGGGGCAGAGGGAGAGGGGCAGCTGCAGTGTGTTTGCAAGAGAGACCTCAGTACCTCTCACAGAATGGGAGCCCTAAGCAGAGATGGCTCTTCTGCATGGTGATAAATTGATGCAAGGGAATTTGGACCTTCATGGCCCCCACTGTTCAGTTGCTGGATGTGGACTGCCCGCTAGGGAGCAGCATAGTTTTGGACAGGAGTACAGTCCCAGCAGTGAGGATTAGGCATGGCATCTCCTAAAGTCTGATAGCCCTCGGTATCTGTCTGTGTTCTCCATCCTCATGCCCAGCTAGCATTGGTGGACTTGATTTCTCAGTCTTCGGCCCTCCATCAAGGGGATTTCTACCCAGCAGAGAACATCCTGGAGCTGCTACTGTTGTAGGCATGGACCTAAGTCATGATGAGCTAGGGAAGGCTGCAAAGTGTCATGTCCCCAGTCTGTGCCCTCAGATTTCCTGGCATCTGGGCCAGGAACCCTGAGTCTGCATGAAGCATTCAGCGTGTGTCTCCTCGCCATACGGTACAGCAGTTGCTCTAGGGTGTGGCATTTGAGCTTTGACCACCAACCCCCTTCCTGTTGTCTCTTACCCACAGGGACATGTGGTACTGACGGATTTTGGCCTTTGCAAGGAATGTGTGGAGCCTGAGGAGACCACATCCACCTTCTGCGGCACCCCCGAGGTATGTGAAAGATCTGTGGAGAAGGCTGGCCATAAGTGGCTGAGGCCACAGCCCCTAAATAAAACCACCAGGCTACAGCATCGAGGCCTCACTCCATCCTCGAAAGCTCTTCCCTGAGTCAGCTTATAAGGAGCCTTCATCTCCTCATGAGTGTTAAGGAACCAGCTTTTGGAATGGTGGGCTCCCAGCTACCTCTAGTGAGTTCTACTACTGCTCAGTGGGAATAGACAAGCTACAGCTGGATGTGGGGTTGCGTGCCTGTAATCCCAGCGCTTGAGGGGTGGGGACAGGAAGATCAGGAGTTTGAAGCCAGCCTCAAGTATATAGTAGGTCCCAGGTCAGCTGGAAACCAAAAACAAATAGATGCAAACCTTATGTATTTATTGTGATGTTGAGGGTTGAGCTCAGAGCCTCAGGCATGCTAGGCAACTACATTTAAAACGTAAAAAGATGTGCTGGAGAGGTGGCTCAGTGCTTAAGAGCACTGGTTACTCTCCCAGAGAACCTGGGTTTGGTTCACAACTTACCCGGCAGCTCACAAGTGTCTATAGCTTCAGTTCCACGGGATGCAATGCCCTCTTCTGGCCTCCATGGATACTGCATGCAAGTGGTACAAGCAAAACACCCATGCACACAAAAATGAAATAAATCGTGTGTTTTATTTTAATTTAGTGTGTGTGTGTGTGTGTGTGTGTGTGTGTGTGTGTGTGTGTGTGTGTGTGTGTGAAGACAGGGGTAGAGAGATGTTTTAGCAGTTAAGAGCATTTGTTGCCCTTGCAGAAGAAGATCGGGAATCAGGTCTTGGCACCCACATGGCAGCTCACAGCCAATCCTCCACAGTAACTCCAGTTCTAGGGGATCTGGCACCCTCTTCTGGTCACTGTGGGAACTGCCACATGTGGCATACATGACATATGTGTAGGCAAAACACCCATACACATAAAATAAAATAAATCTTTAAGAAAAGTACAAAAGACAGGACTGGGGGTGTAGCTCGATGGCAGAGAACTCACCAAGACCCTGGGTTTGAATCCCACTAACACACGCACGTACACACAAAGTAAAAAGAAACAGGTGATGCTAGGCATGGTGACACATCCCTTAATCCCAGCATTTGGAAGGCAGAGGCAGGCAGATCTCTGTGAGTTTGAGACTAGCCTGGCATAGATAACAAGTTCCAGACCAGCCAAGGCTACATAGTTAGATCCTGTCTTGGGGTGTGTGTGGAGGGAAAAATGGGTGAAAGTAACTTAACAAGGTATTTTATTTAGCTCAATATATCCCAAATCTTCTCATTTAAATATATAATCAGTGTAAATTCGTGAAATAGGGGTGTCAAGCCTGCTTAGTTGGTAAGGGCACTTGCTGCCAAGCCTAAGGGCCTGAGTGCAATGCCTGGAGCCCATATGGTAGGAGGATAGAACTGATTTTTCCAAATTGGTCCTCTGATCTCTATATGTCTGTGCATGCACACACCCATAAAAATAAAATAAATGTACAATTGTTGAAATAATGAATTATTTCTTAGTCTTACAATCTAGCATGTGAATATAGTTTACATTTATAGTCTGCTTCAGCTGTGATTGGCCATATTTCAATAGACCCAAATCTTTTCTTCTTTTGTCTTCTTTCTTTCTTTCTTTCTTTCTTTCTTTCTTTCTTTCTTTCCTTCTTTCTTTCTTCCTCTCTCTCTCTCTTTCTTTCTTTTTTTTTTTTTGAGATAGGGTTTCATTGTGTAACAGCCCTAGCTGTTCTGGAACTCACTTTGTAGACCAAACTGGCCTTGAACTCATAGATCCACCTGCCCCTGCCTCCCCAGTGATGGGATTAAAAGCATGCACCAACATGCCCAGCTAGACCCAAATCTCGATTCTCTGCAAAAGCAATTGTTCAATATCCACATGTGGCTAGTGGCTGCTGTGTGGGATGGTACTGCTCCATAGGGCCACATCCCTGACCAGGAGAGAGTAGCCTGAGAGTTAAGGTCAGGGCTCGCAATTGTTAAACATAAATATGCCTCCCTCTTTCAGACAGAGAGTCTAGAAGGCTACAATTTGTAGATTTCTGTAATCCCCGTACTTACCTTCATTGAGAAGATGAGGCATAAGGGTTTAAAAAAATGCCTCAAAATAACAATAATTAGGACAGGTAATATAGCTCAGTGGTAGAGTGATTGCCTGACATGCATGAAGCCATGAGTTCAACCCCAGTACCACAACAAACAAACAAATAAATAAACAAGCATTGCATGTCTGAACCTGTCTATCTGGCCTGCCTTGGGTTTAAAACCTTTCCTTGAACTCCCACTGGTCTTGAACATTGGACCTTGAACCTGAAGGGTCCCTGCGGGTTGGACAGGCACCAGAAAGGGGCAGAGGGCTGAGGCTGCAAAGTGGAGCAGCGCCTCTCTGTTTAGTCTGGAACAAGACGTAAGAGCCACCCTATGTGTCTCCATCAGCCTGCAGAGCTGTGTCTGGACCTTCAGGTGGGTTCCGCCAGTTGATAGGGAATTGACGGTCAGGTAACCTCTCCCAGAAGGGACCATTGTGTATGTTTGTGCGTGGGGTGTCCACTGGAGAAAGCTGACCCCAAAGCCTAACAGCAGCCAGTCCTTCAATGGGTGTAACTAGCGTTAGGGAGCAGGGGATATGGAATTGTGACTCATGTAGGAGACATCACTTCTTCCATGACTACCCCTGCTGAGTGCCAGGCACACAGACCTACATTTGTTCCCATGTTCCCAGTAGGGACTCCATGTCCCTATTTTCTTTTTGGAGCTGAGGATCGAGGCCTTGTGCTTACTAGGCAAGCGCTCTACCACTGAGCTAAATCCCCAACCCAGTCCCTACTTTTATTTATTAATTAATTGTGCGTGTGTGTATGTGTGTGCGCTGTATATGCACATGTTCGCGTGGATGTGGACAGATTCATATGCACATGCATGCATATGGAGGCTAGAGGTTGATGTCAGGTGTCTTCCATAAGCACTTTCCACATGATATTTTTGACACAGTGTCTCAAACTGTACCTGCAGTTCACTGATTTGCTGGTTGGCCATTGACCCAAGGATCTGCTTATCTCC